TCACAGGGGTAGAATTACTGCACAATTCCCCTTTCATGAGGTACCTAAAAGTCAAACGCATAGAAGCAGAGAGTCGATGGGTGGCTGGCAGGAGCTGGGGAAAAGGGGAAATGGAGAGTTGTTATTTAATGAGTATAAAGTTTCAGTTACGCAAGATGAACAAGTTCTGCAGATCTGCTGTACAATATTGTGCCTATAGTTAACAATACTGGATTGTATCCTTAAAAATCTGTTAGAAGGAATCATGTTAAATGTTCTTACTGCAACAAAATATTTTTTTAAAGGAATTCAAAGTGCTGTAGAGATACTGACCCAGGTTCCCCTGCCCTCAGTTCCAGCTTCTACCCCTGTTGTAGGGGTGTGGCCTATGTCCCTTGCTTCTCTTCTGGGCTCTCTGCAGCCCTTCCAGGACCCCGAGTGTGACAGAGCTCTCGGCACAGTGTGGGGTTGGAAGTAGGAACCTGCAGATGGCTTGGTCTTACTTGGGAAATGGGACCCTGGGCTGACTCCTGCTCTGGCCTCTCTCCAGAAGAGGTCTGTCTGCAAAGCTGTTTCATGCTCTTCCAGGGGAAGGTCTTCTTTTTCTTTTAAGGAGGCTGATCAAACACTTGCAACAGGTCTGGGACTTCTCCCGGACCTCCCCACCACAAGTGCTGCAGAACACGGGCTGCACAGCCTCAACCACACAGACACGCTGAAATATTTACGAGGCTCCTGGCTCGTGAAACAGAGCTTTCCACTCAGGAGGAAGGGAAGGAACATGGCATGTGTGAAGATCTACAGTATGTCACACCACTCAGGGAGGGTTTTCTTAAAACTTAATTTTTTATTAAGGTATAGTTGATTTACAATGTTGTATTATTTTCTGGCATACAGTATAGTGATTCAGTTAAACATATATTTTCTTTTTCATATTCTTTTTCATTATAGGTTTTTACAAGTTATTGAATAAATGTTTTACTTTCATCCTGAAGCCTCACGGCTCAGGAAGAAGCTACCATTAAACCCATCTAACTGGTTAGAAAACAGTATCTGAGGCAGGACCAGGTGTGGTTGAGAGCTGGGCTCTGGGGTCTGGCTACTGACTACCAGCTGTGGGAGACCCTGGGTAAGTCACTTAACCTCTCCAGGTCTCAGTTTCCTCATCTGTAAAATGGAAATAAGAGGACCTACCTCTGTTGTCAAGGACTAAATGAAACAGCCCGTGTAGCACACTTAGCTCAGTGCCTAGCATTTAAGTGCTCAGGAAGTGTTAGCTATTATTATTATTATTACTATTTTTTTTATTATTATTCCCCACTCACGTCACCCTGCTCTCCACTGTTCCTAGGTCTCTTTTCCCACCATTCCCCTCATGGCCCAGAACCATCTTTCCATGTTATTCCTGTGGGGATGATTTGCCCCCTGCTGGGGACCTCCTGGAGGCTGAATGCTTACCCAAGGAAATGAATTTCTAATGGTGGAATCTTGAGCCTGGTGTAGTTCTGGCCAAGGTAGAGGACTGGGAAGGGGATCCTCCATACCCTACCTCTTGGGCAGTTGTCTCTTGCGCCTGTGAATAAAACTCCTTTGCCTGGATAGGCCTCCAACCTCACCCTAGGCTAGTACATTTTGGGATAAAGCACAAAATTGGTGCCTCACATTTTCCTTCCTCCATGCCTTTGTGTGCCATTCTCATCTGCTAAAGAGCATCCCTTCCTATTTCTGCCACAACTGTCTCTGTCTGTTAAATTTGACTTTCTTCTTCCAGATGCAGTTCAAAGGCCACCTCCCCCAGTCCTTCTGATCTCCCAACCAAGCATAACCACACGTTTTTCTGAACCTCCCAAAAGCATAGCGTTCATAACCATCAATCACGTATGGCTTTGCCTGAAGGCTATCAGGGGACAAAGAGCTGTCTCTTCCGTATGTTACATTCTAGAACTTTATGGTTCTTTGTAGTGTGCAACACAAGCTAAGCTGGTGCTGGTTACAGGCTTCTGAACAATGATGAAGATGATACCCATTGTAACATAGCAGGTGCATTAGACTGTGAGTTCCTTGAGGGCCTGGTGTTTGCATCTATGTCTCCCTTAGCACCCAGCATGGAGCTGGCGCACAGTAAGTCCTTGGCAAATGGTTGCGAATGGATGTTCACAATAACAGCTCCCGTCTGTCATGCCTACCACAGGTCAGGCACTGTGCTGAGCCTTTTCCATATGGTAGCTCATTAAGTCCTCACAATCGTCCTATGAGACAGGCACTGATATTCCCCACTGGAAAGTAAGCCCCACAGGGCAAGGATTTGCATCTTTTGTTTTTGTTGCTATATATACATCAATGCTTGAGATGTAGGAGGCCCTCAGTAAACATCAGTTGAATGAGTGAATTAATTAATGGATATTCATTACTAAGCTCGGAGAGGTTTAATAACTTGCCTAAGGTCACACATGTAATAAGTGGCAAGCTCAGAATTTGCACCTAGATGGACCTGATTCCAAAACCTGTCTTCTTCACCACTGAACGTCAGCAGGTGGAAGAGATGGGGTGGGGCTGAAAGAATCAAGGCACACAGTCCTACCTTTATGGAGTTTTGCATCTGATGGAGAAGCAGAAATGCACACACATAGCACACATAACACGACAAGTGATCGGACCAACCTGTGACCAACCCAGGAATCAGGGAGGGCTGGTGCTCACACCAAGACTCAGGGGAAGGAAATGACTTCTCAAGGGCCCTGACACTGCCAAGAGCAGCAGGAATGTAGTTTCACATGGTAAGCAATCTCTGCAGCTGGGAAGAAGGGTGATTCAGGCTGTTGATGCTTGGCATGTTGGCTTTGTGTTCCTGCACTTTGGAGACTGTACCTGGGAAGCGTGCCTTTAACATGTTATTCCTCTGCTCAAAAAACCTTGAAACCTACCTCCCTCTCCCCTGGTCCCACTTCCCTACTTCACACTAACAGAATAAAGCCCATCCCCTGGGCTAGGAGGTCAAGGATGTGACCCCATCAAGCTCCCAGCTCACTCCGGGGAGCCCCTCACTGTTCCCAGCTCCCCTCAGGCACCCTGTCCTCTAACCACCCTGGCACTGTGCTGGGGCCAGCTCTAAACGTGCTCTGAAGAGAGTGTTCTTCCTTGAGAAAAGTGATCTGTAGAGATCCCAGGCAAAGGACACAGCAAGTGCAAAGGCCCTGAGCTATGCTTGGCCCAGTAAAGGAAAAGCCAAGAGACCTGTGTGGCTGGAGCGGAAGGAATGGGGAGAGAAGGAGTAGGTGAGAATCACAAACACATGACAATGCCAAGTTCTACATAAATTCAGGCTCTGTGTAGCACCACATGTCTGGGTAATAGTAATAGGAGTCACTGAATGCATTGCACATGCCTGACACAGTCCTCAGTCCTGCCAACACAAAACATCTACAGACAGGACCTCTTAGAGTTTAGCAGGGAGACGGACAAAGGAACTCCACAGTGCCATGTGACAGGTGCTGTGTCAGGGCACTCTGAAACCACAGAAGAGAGCATCTCACCTGAACTCGGGGCCAAGGAGGCCTCCTGGAGGAGATGGCACTTAAGCTGTCAAACAGGAGAAGGAAAATGCTCCAGAACACAGATGCAGAGAAGGAGGGGAAGGCCAGAAGCTGGGATGCTGGGTAGAGCTTCAGTAGCAGTGCCAGGGCCAGGGGCAGCTTGCCGGATGAAGGGCTAAGGAGGAGAGTGCCGGGACAGGGAGGCGCTCAGGCTTGTGGGGACTGACAGAGCCTCTGGACAGAGAGGCCCATGTTTAAGTAAGTGTGTGAGAAGTTGGTGGTTATAGAGTGGGAGACACCAAGTGAGTAGAGGTGGTAAAAAGACTTCAACAATTTACCTGCCGCCCCTGGGCCCTGCTTTCTCACTTGTCAGAAGGTAAGGGGCCACCGCCACCTGCACCAGGTCTTGGTTTCTCATCCCACCCTACAAGGTTCAGATCCCTCTTTTTAGGCAGATCTCAGTCCTCACTCTGGGACAGCTCAAGACACTGGAAAGAGATTTCCTCGGTTAATAATAACTCAAATGCCTGCAACACATTGTGGTCTTCAGTGTACTTTCACCACAATGACCCATGCGTCTTACAGTAAATCTAGAAAGGACAGAGCTCTGCTGTTCTCCTTTCCATAGGAGCTGCTGCAGCTCAGAGAGGTTAAGGCTGTGCCAAAGTCACACGGCTAGTGGGTGACTAAACTGGGACTCGAGCCCAGCTCTTGAGATTGCAAATCCCACAGTAACACTGCAGCAACTGCAGAAAACAGGGCTTGGTGATGGCCAGGTTCCCAAGGACAAGCCTGGGAAAGGGGATGGGACCAGCCCTGGAATGGGGAAGAGATGGAAACAGGGGTGATGGAGGTGGAAAGTGAGGCAGAAAGGGGGCAGTGTAGGAGGTTGGAGAGGCTTTGACACAGAACTAGAGGTCCTCTAGAAACATCTGGTAAAATGTCCAGGCAGGGTTTAAAAAAACAGAAGCTGCTTCCTCCCTCCCCAGGCCTCTGTGAGGGGCCTGTTGCTCCCATTTTGCAGGTGAGAAAAGAGAGGCAAGAGAGGGGCCCACATGACTCGCCCAAGGGCCCACAGGAACTTAGGGCCCAGGGGCCCTGTTAGACGCCTGGTAGGGTGACAAGACAGCGGAGACTTCCCACCCCAGCGTGGATGACGAAATAGAGATGATGAGACAGGAGGTGGAGATGGAGACAGAAATCAGGGCCGCATCCAAAGACGGAGGGGGAAAAGGCAGAGGTACTGACGGAGCCTGTCAGCGGCAGAAATGGTGGAGAGATTAGGCCCTGATACCCAGATCCAGTTACTGGCAGGCAGCATCAGCTGATCGGGTGTCACACGCAGTCCTGGCGCTTGCTCCCGCCCGCGCGGACCCATCCACCTGGGGAGCCCCGCAGCGCAGCGCTCCCTAGTCCCGGGGAAGTGGGGGTGGGGTAGGGTACGAGGGTGGAGAGGGTGGGAGGAGGGGGCGGTGCGCCACCCTCTCCCCTTCCGCTGTCAAATCCGCAGAGGCCTCCGCAGCAGCCTCCTGGCCCGCCCCAGATCCCCCCTCCCGCTCCTGGATGGTACACTCCGGTCCTCCTGGCCTGGCTGCAGTGGATGTTGCTAGAACCCACGCGGAGGAAGGAAGAGACGCAGGCAGGCTGCGGTGACCCAAGCAGCCGCCCCTGCCTCAGGCACCCCCTTCCCCGAGAGACGGAACCATGACCCAGGGAAAGGTACCGACATCTCCCCCGCCTGCACCATCCTCCATCCTCTGGATCCCCCATTTCCCTGTCATCCTAAGCAAGCTTTTCGGACCACTATAAGCATCCTTCCTTGGCTTTTGTGCGAAGGTCCTCTGCGGTCCTTGCTGAAGTCAGAGGACCAGAAGGCCCATTTCAAGGAAAGGGTTGTGGCCTCTTCCCTCCCACCAGGCTCACCTCTCCTCCCATCTACCTTCCACCCCATGCGTTGGCATAACAGGACTCTTCACAGGCGCCCAGGTCCCCTTAAGGAGTCAGCCTAGGTGTCTGGTGTGTGTCTGTGTAAGTGTATGCGCCCCAGGGTGAGCCCTGAGGGGTAGTTCCTATAGGGCATGCGTCCCTCGGTCCATTCCCAGCCCCAATCATATTATGCTCATCTTTCATACCCTCCATAGAAGCCCCCCACCCAGCTCCCTGTCGTTATTCCATATCTGGATACATCCCCTGTGGTTGGGGGGCCAGGGGTGGTTGATGGCAATCCTGCTTAAGGATGCTCTAATTTTTGTTTTGGTTTTGGCCAGACATGGGATTGAATGAGACCAGATGAAACGTCTTCTCTTTTTCCCCCAATTTTAGACCTGCGATGTAGGGTAGGGGCTGGGGCAGAGACTTGGCTGGCCTAATAAGGTTATGTAACATCAACAGCCTGTGGAATTATACAACCACCAGGGCCTGGGGCAAAGAGGGAGGGTCCACTGGGCCTCTGCTTGGGGATGCTAAGGATTGGGCAGAGAAAAATAGAAGAGGGACCTCCCCTCCACTCCCCCTTCTTTTCTGCAAGATGAGCCTCAGAGCCAATGGCATCTTCCCTGGGCTCTCAGACCCTCCTTTCCTTGTTTTTAAGCTCATCAGGCCTCAAAATGATGTCATTGGGTGATACCACTTTCTGCCATTGGGCAGACTGCATTTGAGAATGCCGGATATGTGTGTATGGGGGGCAGGGCCCAGGAGACTGGGGGGCTGGTCAGCAGGGTGGCGTGGGTAAGAAAGACCAGCTTTGGACAGGGCAGAAGTCAGAGGTGATAATCCTTCTTTCAGCACAAGCCCTGGGGCTGGACTCCGAGGCCCTTGTTTTTGGTGGGCTGAGATGGGTTTTCCTGGGCAGGACCCTGCTGGTCTGGGTGATGAAAGGGGTTGGGGAGTAGGAGGGAAGCGGATGAGCCAGGGGACCATTCCCACAGGACTCGGATCCAAGGCCCTTCCCTAAGGATGCCTGGGGGTATCCACTGTGGTGAAAATGAAGAGCTCCCCACTCTGTGGATCCTCTGTCTCCACGTCCCACCCCCACCTCCATGAGTCACTTTGCCAATGCTGCTTCTTGCCCTGGGGTGAATGTATCGCCCTTCCTCCTCTGCCCCTCACCCCCAGCTTGCTCCCAGGTTTTCCAGGGATGGAAAAGACCCTTTGAGTTCAGTGGTCCTCAGAGCTGGATGGAAGCAGAGACCTTCCGGTGCTAGTCTGTCTCTGGGCAGCCTCAGCTAGACACACCCTGCAAAGAAGGAACTCTGTGGGGCCCTGCAGGTTTAACACCTTTTTGAAACCAGACCTAAATCCTATTTGTTTTCTAAGGCTCAGTCCTTTTGGTGCTGTTTCTGTTTTCATACCACCTCCGCCACCCCAATCTTCCCTTCTCTGGTGGCATCATTCAGGCCCTCACAGCTGGTAGCCTCTCACCAAATCTAACTTGCACATTGTGGGGCCTGGGGGGCATATCTGAGTGTAAACAGACTTGAGTTTTCAACCAGCCTTGGGGTATTTCCCACTGGGTTTCAGTTTCCTGGTCTGTAAGATGAAGGGGCTGAACTAAATGCTTTCTCTCCCAAGTCTGTGATTCTGTTCTGGTTTGGGTTTCCAATAGGCCGAGGCCAGAAAGAGACACTTAGTCCCGGGGCCTCTTGCCCCTCCCTTGCCCTGCAGCCCCCATTCCTCTTCTTCTTCCTCCCATCTCCTCTCCCCTCCTTTCTGTTTCCCAGCTCTGCCATCCCCACCCTCCTTGGTCATCTCCAGCCCAGCAACAGGAGGCCAGTCCCAGCGGATGGTACCTGGGCTCTGCAGCTCGGGGAACCATATGTGACTCTGAGTCATTCTTCCTTTCTGATCCTCAGTTCCCTCATTTAAAAACAGGGGTCAAATCTTTAAAAAAGACACAAATGAACTTATTTACAAAACAGAAACAGACTCACAGACATAGAAAACAAACTATGATTACCAGGGGGAAGGGAAAGGATAAATTGCAGATACTAACTACTATATATAAAATAGATAAACAAATTTATACTGTATAGCACAGGGAATTATATTCAATATTTTGTAGTAACCTATAATGAAATAGAATGTGAAAAGGAATATATGTTTTTATATGTATGACTGAAACATTACGCTGTACACCAGAAATTGACACAACATTGTAAACTGACCATACTTCAGTTAAAAAAAAGAAAAAAACAGGGATCAAAGTACAGGTAGCAAAGTAGCAGGGTGATTAAGTGAGAAAAACGTTTATTTAGTATTTTTAAGGGCCTACTCCATGCCCAGCCCTTCCCTGGACCCCAGGGAAACAGTAGAACCATATAGAGCCAGTCCCTGCCCTGGGGACAGTAACCACCAATGGTGGGTTCTCCTAAAAATTTCTTCTTCCTCAGTTCTAATCCAGGTCCAGTGTGTGCCCCTGGCCAGCTCTGACCCTCCTAGAGCTCAGTTCTCCCATCTATAAAATAGGCAGAGTCTTTCTTTTCCAGCCTCATTGCGGTACAATTGACAAATAGAAATTGTATATATCTAAAGTGTATGATATTTTGCTATATCTATAACTTGTTAAATGATCACCACAATCAAGCTAGTTAACACATCCTTCACTTCGCAGAGTTACCTTTTTTTTTCCCAGTGGCAAGAACACTTATCTACCCTCTCAGCAAATATCAAGTACACAATACAGTATTGTTAACTGTAGTCACCATGCTGTACATTAGATCTCCAGAACTTCTTCATTGTGCATAACTGAAACTTTGTACCCTTTGACCAGTGTCTCCCCATTTCTCCCACCCCTAAACCCTGGAAACCACCTTTCTACTCTGTGCTTCTATGAATCCAACTATTTTAGATTTCACATATAAGTGAGATTAAGCAGTTTTTGTCTTTCGGTGTCTGGCTTACTTCACTTAGTATAATGTCATCCAGGTTCATTCATGTTGTTGCAAATGACAGGATTTCCTTCTTTTTTAAGGCTGAATAATATTCCATTGTATATGTACACCACATAAATTGGGGAGATTCTTGTCTGTTCCCCTGCCTTTCCTAATGCACATGAGAAAGTACCCACAGAAGTTCCAGAACTGAGGGGCTGGTGAGGAGGACTTGGAAAGCGCCCTTTCCCTGGTGACTGTCTCCTTCTGCCTCTATTCCACAGCTCTCTGTGGCTAACAAGGCCCCCGGGACAGAGGGGCAGCAGCAGCAGACAAATGGTGAGAAGAAGGAGGCTCCAGCAGTGCCCTCGGCCCCACCTTCCTATGAGGAGGCCACCTCCGGGGAGGGGCTGAAGGCAGGCGCCTTCCCCCCAGCCCCCTCAGCTGTGCCTCTCCACCCCAGCTGGGCCTACGTGGACCCCAGTAAGTCTCTCAGCTCCTGGAGACTGGAGCATCAGGGGAGTGGTGGGCCCAGATGGAAAACCTGGGTAGGAGGAAGTTTCCCAGAAATAGATGTACTGTGTGGTTGTTGTATGAGGCTCTGATATCAAAGGGTTGGGATTTGGAGGACTGTTCTGAGGGTAGGTCAAGGAGAAAGCCATGAAAGAGGAGATGTGGTGTCTGCAGTCATCGTTCTCTTGGATGGGGAGCAGGGGTTTCTGAGTCACGAAGCTAGGGCAAAAAGAGGGGATGGATGTGAGAGAAAAACCAGGAGCTAGTCTAGAAGAGAGGGATGCAGAGAAGGGATGGGAGAGGTCAGAGTGGATGCAGGAAGGAATAGAGTGAGGCTATAGCTGACCAAGGCCTTAGCTAGGGCTGGCTCCCTGGGAGTGAGGGTGCAATGTGCTTACATATTGGCTGATCTGCACCCTTCGTGGGGACATGTCTCCACAGAGGCCTCAGGGTTGTTGGGGGCTGTGAGCCTGAGGATCCACTTCACCCATTACCCTCCCTCCTTGTCTCTTTTCCTTCCCCCAGGCCTTAACTGGGGGCAGGAGAGCGTGATGTGGGGAAGGTATGTGGATGCCAGCCTCAGCATGCCTCATGGCCAGACACAATTCATAGGCAGACCCACCCAACCTGATGACAGCTGCTTGCAGACTGAGAACCGCAGCTGGTGGGGTCCCCTCTGTTAGGTGGGGCAGCCCGTGGGAGCTTGACTTCAGGGCTGGGAACACACAGCTCCTCGCAAGCTGTAAGGATGCCTTCCTCAGCCCCTTCGCCCTCCCTCAGCAGTCCCTTGACCCCTCCCCCACGTTATCAACACCCCCTCCTCTCCCACAGAATTCTAGAAGAGATCCTAGGGACAATGCCTCAGACAGAGTCTCTCCTCACAAAGAGTGGCCACCATGGTCCACACCTCCCACCACAAAGCCTCTCAGCCCAGAGCCAAGCAGACCTACCCCACTGTGACCTACTGGAGGGCCTTCGAAGGTCTGGTATTATGGGAGCCCTTCCCACTGCCCCTGATGCTTTTTCATGTCAGGCTGCTTTTCCTCCCCTTTTCTCCCCTCTGTGGCCTGGCCATTTGGGCTTTGAGAGAGGTTGTAGAGGGAACATGAAGGAGTGAAGGATAAGAGGTTGAGGGTCCCCAAGCCCCAGGTTGGCAATGGGTCTACCTCCCTCCCCCTTCCTCATTTCCCATATCCTGGTGGCCAGGACTGGCTGCCTAAAAGAATGTTTTCCCAAGAACTGTTGGGGCAGAGGAAGGCAGTTCATTTCAGTCAGCATATGACAAATGTTTACTAAGTGTGTGCCAGGTACTGTCTGGCACTGGGCTAATTTCTGAGGATGCAATAATTTGTAAGACCTGCCCTCATAGAGCTGGCTGTGTAGACAGGTAAGTGGACAACCACCACACAGTGAAACAGGTGCAGTGATGGTGGTCTGGGCAGTTCAACTAACCTGCTTGACAGTCAGGGAAGACTTCTTAGAGGAGGGGGTATCTTCGTGGAGTCCTGAAGGATGGCGTGTGTTAGGTGGGGAAATGAGTGTCCATGGCTGAAAGAAAGAATGTGCAGAGGCCCAGAGGAAAGAGAGCACATCGTTGAAAAAAATATAGTCAGGTTGGGGAAAAGTAGAATAGATAGTGAGCAGTGGGGCTGGAGGGCTCCTGGGAGGCTGAGAAAGCTTTGTTAAGGAACTTAGACTTAAGTAAAAGGCAGTAGGGAGCCATCAAAGAGCCTGAAGCAGGGCACTGCCAAGGTCAGCTTTGAAAGACCAAGATGGAGGCTATTGCTGTGGAGGGGAAGGTCACAGAGAACTGTCGGGGACAGTGGAGGAGAACAGAGTGGACACATCTGAGGCCTTAGGAACAGCCCAGAGGAGGGATGAGGGGGAGAAGGGTGTGTAGTCACCATCAGGCACAGAGCTCTCACTTTTATCTCATTTCGTCCCCATGAGGTGGATATCACTGACCCACATCATAGAAGAGACTCAGAGGGCTGGTGACTTGCTTAAGGTCACACCGCTGGTCAGTCTTGAGGAGGAATCCACATGTTTGTCTGTGGAGCCCATGCTCTTCTGAAAGCCTGAGTCCTGGGACCACACCCCACAGTTTCATCCTCAACCCATTCTTGCCCTTGTCCTGGCTTTATTCCCGCCTCTGGTCTCCCCTCATCCCTGGTTCCCAGCTGGAGCACCAGCAGGTCCACCAATCCAGCAAGTCCCCAGTTCCCACCCCAAGGGCCTCAGAGCAAGCTGGGGTAGGACCTTTGAGCCAGGGGTGTGCAAGGTGGCCCTGGGAGAGTGGTTGTCCCTCTCAGCTTCCCAGCCCTGAGGGAGCCAGAGTGTCCAGGGAGGGGGATGGAGGGACATGAGAAGGAAAGGTCACATTGGTATGGTAGAGCTTGGCCCACAGGGAGCCCTAGCCAGCATGGAGTGGGTGAGGAGGGGAGATGATAGTTCATTCTCAGGACTTGGAACAAGGAAGGTGAGAGGCATCCTGGGAGAGAAATCTGGGATCTCTGTGGGATGGGTGGGCCGGGAATTTTGAAAATGGGGCTAGAGAGAAAGGCTTTGCCTGGCCGGAAGAGCCAGTCCAACAAAAGGCAGCACTGAGCAGGTGGCCACTGGGGACAGTGTTTATATGTATGGTGTTCTCATGGCCCTCCCCTGCCCCCTCAAGGCAGCAGTTCCAGCTATGAGAGCGGTTTCCCCACTGGAGACCATGAGCTCTTCACCACCTACAGTTGGGATGACCAGAAAGTTCGCCGAGTCTTCATTAGAAAGGTAACTGCCTCCCCCAGCTCTCCAGGATGGGAAGGCTGAGTTAGGGGAGCCCCAGAGAAGCTCCGGTCCAGCCGTCTGCCTCAGAGGCCATCCCTCTCCCAGTCCCTTCTGATCCCAGCTGACAGCACTGCTGGGAAGTGGGGGCGCCCCCTGCTGTGCCTGATCACAGGGTCTCTTCTCTCCAGATCCTGTGGGTGTGGGATCTGGGGTGTCTTTGCTCTCCTTTCACCTTGCCCTGGATCCAGTCCAATGACCCCTAAGGAGGAGGGTGGAGGGCACAGGATGTGGGTCTGGAAGGTAGGTCGAGTCACCGGGAAGCTGGGCTCTTCCCTGAGCCTTGCTGGGGGCCTAAGCCTCCTTGGCCTCCAACAGGGCCTCCCAAGCTGAGTGGAACCCCCTCCCACCCCTAGGTCTATACCATTCTCTTGATCCAGCTGCTGGTGACTTTGGGTGTCGTGGCTCTCTTTACCTTCTGGTGAGTTGGCCGTGTGGACCAGCATGTTCTAGGGGTGGTATGGCCAGGCCTCAGATAGGGGTGGGGGATCCAGAAGCAGACAGTTCTTGGAATGTTTGCCTGAAAATACTTGAGCAGGGCAGCAGTCACCCTCATGCTGGAGAGGAACCTTAGCACACACGGAGGGGTCCTCCATCCAATGTGGGAAGAGGGGGGAGTGGGGTGGCCTTAGTGCTTTTCAGGCCTGCCGGTCTCTGTGAAGTGGTTGTTCCTCTCAGATGCACCAGCCCTACTCCCGGGCTTGGAGTCTCAGCCTGAGACCGTGGCTGGGGCTCCCTCCACCCTCTGCAGTACAGCCCTCCTCTCTTCTCTCAAGGACTCAGGACTTCTCTTAAGTCCTGTGACATGGGTGGGGGAAGGGGCAGGTGCAGACGTTGAAATAGAAATGGAGACAAAAGGTACATTCTGATTCTCCCTCTCTTCTCTGCAGTGACCCCGTTAAGGACTATGTCCAAGCCAACCCAGGCTGGTACTGGGCATCCTAGTGAGTATACCCTAGACCCCTTCCCAGAGCATCCTCAGCGGCACAAGGTGGGAGAATCCCAGCCCATGGCCTCTCCCCACCCCACAGGAACCGTCCTCACAAGGGCATGATCAGAAGAGCCTTTATAGGGTGTTTAGATCTGAGAGGGAGGAGAGGAGATGGGCGTGGGTTCTGCTGCCTTCTCAAGGAGGGAAGGGTGGGGCTGGGGTCATGCTGGGAGACCGAGACCTTGGCCCTGAAGAGAAGGAGTGCTGGAACACCTTGGCCCACGCTAATGATAACGTTGCTACTCTTATTAATGTGGCTGTTATTAGTGCTTACGAATTATTAATCATAATAGCTACCACTCACAGCATGCCTAGTAAGGGCCAGGTATTGCTCTGTGCGCTTGATACACTGTTGCTTTCGCTCCTCAAATCTACTGGGTACGATTACCTCATAAACTAAGGCTCAGAGAGGTTGAGTAATTTGCCCAAGGTCACACAAGTAGGCAGTGGTAGAGATGGGATTCAAACCCAAGAATCAGGCTGAGGCTTGTGCTCATAATTCCTCTGCCCAGCAGACTCCCTTCCTCTTGAGCACTGGGCTCCTGCTTGTCCCATCCTCTTTAAGGAACATGGCAGGTAACTTGAGAGAAGGTCGTTCTGATCTTGCGATGTGGGCAATCACGGAGTCATTCTGGATCATTTCAGGCCAGGCCACCCTGGGCTCAGAGCAGAATTACTGTCACCCAGGCTCCTTCAGCACCCACTGTGAGCCCAGCTTGGAAGTAGGGGAAGGTAGTGGATGGCACAAGGTAGCCTGTGAAAGAGTGACGTCCAGAGGAGGGGGAGCCCTCAGTCCACATCAGGGGGTGCACCTCAAAAGATGAGCCAAGAGGACTGGGGACCGGAGTGCCTTAAGCAAAAGCGTGGGAATGGGAGTGCACGTGGCCCATTTGGTCAGTTAGGGACTAGGCTGGCAGAGTGCTGGAAGGCTCAAGGGAGGGGAATCTGGGACAGTGCAGAGAGCAGTGGGGCCTTCTGGGAGGCTCTGAACGTCCACCCAAGGAGCTTGCTCACTACGGCTGTCCCAGGCCTATGGCTGGATGGAGATCTGGTGGGGATGTGGGTTTAGCCCAAAGCCTCCTGGACCACCCAAGCCCAGAACAGTCCCAGAGTGGGCCCCGAGTTAACAGAAGCCAGCCAAAGGCTGACAGGAGGGAGACAGCCTGGCCTCGGGGACTCCTCAGAGGAGCAGAGGAGTGGAGGAGGGACTCAGTCAAGTTGGGGGTCCCTGGGGAGGAGATATTCACACTCAGAGCCTTTCTTAGGGCACAGGATGGAGGGCCTGTCTGCAGACTAGGCAGGGACGGTGCGTCTTGAGAATCTGGGGACACTGTAGGGTAAAGCTAATGAGGCCCCAGGGACTGCCACCCAGGTCAGCACACACGGTGAGTTGGCATGGCTCCCGGCACGTCAGCACTGCCTGGCAGCCTCGGCACCCTGAGACCTTGGGAATGGAGTCCCCAGGCCTTTCATCAGGCCTTCTGCTGAGAGGTCTTCAGGACCCTGTGCCCTGAGCAGATGGTGGTGGGGGCACAGCCCAGGAATAAGCAAGCTTGAGAAGCAGGGGCAGAGTCTACCTCCCTGAGGGTGGATGTGAGAATCTGACCTCTGAATAGTGAGATTTAGTGTCCTTCCTGCTCAACATCTCCAGGCAGAAAACAGAGACCTGGAACTCAGAGGTGGGTGGGGGTGGAGAGAAGTTGGAAGGGGGTGTGGACCTGCGCTTTTCATGGGGTATCACAGAGCCTTAAAGGTGCTTGGGAATTCACCATCAAGGTACTGCTCTGTTCTTCAGAAAGCCAGCCTGTGGCTCTGCCCCCACTGTCCCCTCCCCACCTCTCTGTCCATCCTGCCCCTGCCCCCAAAGTTTATCTCCAGGTCTGAGACCTGTTGGGTCTCACCTCTCCAACATACCAAGCCCTTAATGGCAATAAGAATAAAACAGGTCTTTTTCTATGTGTGTGGCACTGTGCCATGTGATTTGCAGATATTCTTCGTTTTAATCATTAACAACCGTACCAGGCAGATATTATTATTATCCCCATTTTATAGATGAGGAAATTGAGGCTCAAAGAGAAGTTATTGCTTACTAAGCAGCACAGCCAGGATTGAAGTCTGTCTTTCTGACTGCAAAGCCCGAGCACTTGCCCCCAGTGTTCTGCTGCCTGCCCCCACCCCTAGCCGGGAACTGGTCCTAGAGCAGGATGAGTTGGGGTAGGACTCTGGGTTCAGACGCTGGCCTCCACCTGAGCCTCACTCCTCTGTCTTGACACTCTGTAAACAGACCATGGCTCCAGCCCAGGCCCTGAGGCCCAGGCTCTGACAAGCAAGTCAGTCTTTCACTTCTGTGACTCATTCTTCTCTCCTGGGGATGGCAGCCTTCCAGCACCCAGCACCCTGCAAGCGCCCCTCCCAGCTCCCGCTCCCCGCCTTTCTCCAGGCCCCAGTCATCTCCCTCGGTGGGCTCTTGCCTTATTGTCTGATTGTTCCCTCTGAGCCCTGGCAGCGGGAGCTGCGAGCCTCCCCAAGGTGGGGAGGAGTGAGGGCTGTGGGGTAGAGGAAGGGGAACCCAGCAGAGGAGGAAAAGTGTGAGACCAAAGCTGGGGGGAGGTGAGCCTGAGCCTCTCCAGGAAGCTGTCAATCAGCCAGATTCTAATTATAATAATAACAACTCCCATCCGCAGGTCACTACCCTGTGCCAGGCCCTGTGCTAAATGCTCCAGCCATGCATGCCCTCATTCAGTCCTCGCTACAGCCCAGTGAGCTGGTACCAGTATTCCTGTTTCACATAGAAGGAATCTGGGGCTCTCCAATTAAGTAACTTGTTCAAGGTCACACAATAGTGGTGGTAGAACTGGGATGTGAACTTGAGTGTCAGGCTCCCAGACTGCACCATACATGCCAGGTCAGCAGTCCCTCTGCCTTTCCTCCCGACCACTCACCTTGAGGGTTGAGGAGCTCTGGACCATAGAGAAAAGGAGGCTGGGCCTTGCCCTTAAGAAGCTTCCAGTCTGGCCAGGGAGACAGGCCCCACGCCCAGGATGCACATAGACAAGGCTATTATTATTATCATTATTTTTGAAGTGACTGACCCGTGACTCAAGGGAGACCAAAAGAGAGCAAATGCTGGGGTGTTTCTCAATAAATGGGTCAGGATGACTCCACCGTCCCTCACGGAGCAGGGTGTCCTGCGGCCCTGGCCCTGGTGCTGAGAACCCCTCCATCACTGTGACAGTGGTGTGCTTCATTTGAGAACCACTGAAGGGTAGGGAAGGATGAAGATAGAGGGCTCCCAGTCACCAAACCCCATAGGCTTGTCTCAACCCCCACAGTCCCTGTGCATTCACATTTCATCTAGAAATATTTGAAGGTCAGGCCCCAGGTTAGGCAATAGCTTGCTCTGGATACTACATCTGGGTCGGGGTCAGATGAGCAGGCCTGTAGGGTGTACGGTGCGGGGTGCAAGCTTTGGTTGAGGTATGCCCGTGGGTCACAGCCCCTCTAACCCCAGTCTCAGGCGTCCTGGTCTGTTCGTCCTTTCTAGCCGCAGCAGCAGAGTGATGGGCACATTGTGAGGGTGCCCAGGGCGATGAGGGTAGAATGGAGGGACGGAGTGCAGGGAGGGATGGGCTGGAGAGGTGGGGGAGCAGATCTTGCAGGGCTTTGCCAGGTCTTTGGAATTTTAAACAGATGAGTCACATGATCGGACATGCCTATAGTTTGGAGAGTGGAAAGCAGGGCTGGAGGCAGGAAGACCAGATGGACAGAGGTGGCCGAACTAAAAGGATGGTAGTGGAAATGGAAAGAAGGGAACAGATATTTTGTCTTTTTTTAAAAAGTCTATCTCTTTTTTTTTAAATTCTTTTGGGTGGGCAGTAATTAGGTTTATTTATATATATATTTAATAGAGGTACTGGGGATTGATCTCAGGACCTCATGCATATTAAGCACCATGTACTTTACCACTGAGCTATACCCTCTCCAAAGAGGGGCAGATTTGAGAGCTACCTGGGTAGAGGATCCATAGGTCCAGGTGACTAGTTGGGCGTGGCAGTGTGAGAGTCAAAGCTGACTGAGGTCACTGGTTGGGTGACTTGGAGGCTGCACAACTTGTCCTTTGCAATAGGAGATGCAGGAGAAGAAGCAGGGAAGAGGGCAAGTTTGGCTCTAACCTGCTGCATTTGGCACGTTTCTGAATAGCTATGTAGGCTCAGTAGGCAGTTGGTTATTCGGGTCTGAGGTTGAGAAGGAAATGCTAGATCAGGAATATGGGTGTGGAAGTCATGAGCATCTGCCTAATAAAAGGAGTCCTGGGGATGAGTGAGCCCACCGGAGGGGAGTGTGCAGGGAGACAGCCTGACGGGCCCCTGTGCTGAAGGAGCCCGGCAGAGCTAGAGTTACTCTGAAGGAGACTGAGAAGGAGGGGTCAGAGAGGTAAGAGGGGACCCAAGAATGTGTCATTGCGGAACCAGGGAAACAGTGGGAGAGATCAGATATTGAGAAGCCAGGTAAGTTAAAGAGTAACAAACGTCAATTGGACTCAGCAAGGTCACAGTGATGCGGTAAAGCCAGCTTTCATTAAGTGGGGCTGGGGCTGGTTTGTTGGGTTGAGGAGTAGTTGTGAGATGGAGAAGACACCATGAGCGGAGACAGCTTCTTCAAGGAGCTTGGCTGTGAGGGTGGATAAAGTGGCAGTAACTAGAGCCAGGGAAGATGTTGGTTAAAGATGGAGAACAGCTGGGGAGATTTGTGAGTAGAAGAGGTGGCAGTGGCAAGGGGTAAGCAATAGAGATGACAGGGTAGTTGAGTGTGGGACCAGAGGCGGAGGGGATTAGCCTGGGACGGGAGGAGGGCCAGAGGCAGGGCACACAGATGTGTGACGTGATGTTTGCAGGTGGCAGGCAGGCAGCCAGGGAAGCCCCACCTCATCTCCAATCTTTCTGGGACACATCAGGCCAGACCAGCAGTAGAGTGCGGCAGCCTGGGAGGTTTGCAGACAGAGGGAGATGGGTTGGAATTGCTATGGAGAACGGATGAGAGAACCAAGGAGTGAGATGGGGAAGAGAGGCAGGCACCATGTTGAGGGTGCACTGGGGGCTGCAGACCAGGCATCGATGTTGGCATCCATCTCAGTAGGAATGAGCATGCCCCATCCTTGGGTCCTCAGCCCTTATCTCCCATCTGGACTGGTCTCCTCCTCCACCGCTTTCCAGAAACTCCTCAGTCCTCAGCCCCTACCTCTGGGTTACACCTGAGCTTCCTGCCAGTCTCCTGGACATGGCTGCCTGCTCCAGAAATTCATGCCACAGGTACTTCTTGCTGTGCCAGGTGCTGGCAGAGCGACAAGATCATTACAGGTAGTGACAGGGTGAGGAAAGGGTCTGAGGGAGGCAGTGCGGGGTGGCGGTGATAAGCCAGGACTCAGGAGCCAGAATGCCTGGCTTCTAATCCCGCCTCTGCCATGTAGTAGCTCCATGACCTTGGACAAGTCCCTGACCTCACTGTGCCTCAGCTGTCAAATGAAGAACGTGCTTCACAGAGCAGATATAAGGATTATATTATAAAGCACTTAGCACTCTGCCTGGCACATAGGGAACATTGTATATGAGCTTTTCATATTTTTTGAAATAATAAGATAGTGTCTGGGGGGAACCACTTCTTTAAAAAATTTATTTATTTTTAATGGAGGTACTGGGGATTGAACCCAGGACCTTGTGCATGCTAAGCATATGCTCTACCACTGAGCTATACCCTCCCCCCTGGAGGGAACCACTTTAGATTGGGTGGTTAGCTATCCCTTGGCACCCAAGATTCAGTATTTCTAGAAGCAGGCTCATCTTAGTCCTCTTCCTCTCTTTTGGATATTGGATCACCCCATAGCTGGTTGCAAGGCTCTAGGATTATCTTAACCAACCTCCCCTGCCCCGAAGAACCCTGCTTGGTGCCCTAAGGGCAGGGTTGGCAGAGAGAGGAATGAGCAGGGGACTGGGTGGAGGGGCTTCAGGGAGGACTAGCTAACTCACCCGCCCATCTGTCTCTCAGCGCTGTGTTCTTTGCAACCTACCTGACCCTGGCCTGCTGTTCTGGACCCAGGTATGATGATGGCTTGAGGAGCAACTTGTGGGAACATGAGCAAGATTTTGGAAGTTCTGGCCCCAGTCCTTCCTGCCACTTAGGTGCTGTGAACCCCTAAGAGGGCCCCATCCTTCTCTGGGCTCCATCAAGCAGTCCTGCCCCTCCCCCCTTTACTTGGCACCTCAGAGGTTGAGGGAGGGTGAGTGGACAGATGGAGGCACGTGGGGATGTGGCTGAAGGAAGAGGCTCCAAGGAGTGGGGGGGTTGGGCAGAGACCCCTCCGTGCAGCAGTGACCCCCTGTGCTGCTGGCACCCCCTCCCCACTCTCCTCTGAACTCGGTGGCTTGCCTTACAGGAGGCATTTCCCCTGGAACCTGATCCTTCTGACTGTCTTCGTAAGTGATGTGGGGGTGTCTGGGGTTAGACGCTGAGTGGGGAGGGAGGGAGGAGGCCTGGAGGTTGGGCTTTGAGGGCCAGGAATTGGGGGCATCCAATGTGAGGTCGCTGGGGGCGTCTGGGGGATTTTCACCCCACTTCTTCTACAAAGACATCCCTCTCGTTCCAAATGGGCTTTCTCTCCCTACTCCATCCAGTCTCCCTTTCCACTTTGATTTTGTTTTGAAGAGATTTGTATGGGGAATCCTAGAGCTATGGATGAGCAGGGGGGTCTTAGAAAGGAGGAAAAATAGGGGTACGAAAGATAGAGACAGCTGGCGCAAGGCCTGTTGGGACCTCCTTCACCAGGGGAAGTCCTGGAGGTAAATGTGTGTGTAAGCGAAGCAGACTCAAGAGTTGAGGGGTAGGCACAGGGGGTGGAGACCCGGGCTGGCCCTTGAAGGTGTCCCTCATCTTGCTTCTCCTTTCAGACCTTGTCCATGGCCTACCTCACCGGCATGCTGTCCAGGTAAAGGGGACAGGCAGAAGGTGCCCTAAACATCATCTCTCCTGGGAGCATTTAGATGGGGGAGTGGTTCAGGCAGGTAGGAGACACTGGCTTAGAGCCTTCACCTTGCTCTCCTCGGGCAGACAGCGCCTCCAGGACCTGGCCAGGTCAGTGGGGTGGGGGTGGAGGACAGAGGAGAGCAAGGTGACGCCTCTCAAGCTGCAGCTTAAAAAACCCCAGGTTCATGATCACATGGTTCCCTGCAAACCACTTCCAGGTGCGAGCACAAGCCCCTCCCCACCCCCACTCTCACCTCTTCAAGATCCTTCTAGCAAGAGTTTGAGTCTAAGGATTTGGGGAGAGCAGGTCCCAGCAGAAAGGATGGGGAAGTAGAGAATGGATCAGGGGAGAGGGGAGAGGGCGGAGACCAGAGGTCGTGGGATCAGGTCCTGGCAGAGGAGGGTGGGCCTGGGAGGAGGGCTGGGGGAGACCAGAAGCCCTGCCCTAAAGCTGACCTCTAGCCTGACGGTCCTGCAGTTACTACAACACCACATCTGTGCTGCTATGCTTGGGTATCACGGCCCTCGTCTGCCTCTCCGTCACCGTCTTTAGCTTCCAGACCAAGGTCAGCTCCAGCGCCTGCGGCCAGGGGAAAGCAGAGGGGGTGGGGGCTCCGAGCTTGGATTCCCTGGCTGGGGAGAGGTAAAGGGGATGAGTAGGGTCTGGGGAGGCCACCTGGGGTGAGGTGGGGAGGGATGCTGGGTTCTGAGGGTAAGCACAAGACTGTGGCCTGCCGCAGAGGCCTCGGCCTTCCTGCCAGCACACTGCCCGGCCAGGGCCCCCAGGAATGCCGAGCCGCCCTGTGCAGGCCTGAGGCCCGGCAGCTGACACCCATCCCATCCCTGCAGTTCGACTTCACGTCCTGCCAGGGTGTGCTCTTCGTGCTGCTCATGACTCTCTTCTTCAGTGGACTCATCCTGGCCATCCTCCTGCCCTTCCAATATGTGAGTCTCCAGGTCTCCCAGCCAGCTGCATGGGGGTAGAGGGGGAGGGACCGCTGGCCCGAGGGTGCCGCTTCCTCCTACATCCTCCAGGGAAGGCCCAGAGCCAAGGGCTCGCAGCTTGCCATCCTGTCCTGCCTCTCCTGGCACCTGCCCTGGGCTTACTGGCAGTGTAAGCAAACAACTAAAGGAGGCTTTTCTTAGCAGGCCTGGGCACCTGCCCACTACATGAGCCACATCCGGCTTCACCTTTCCCATACAGCCCCTCTCGGGGGCGGCGGAGGTGAGGCTGAGGGGGAGGGCGAGGAGCATTTAAACCCCCAGCAGGGGAGGGAGCTCTGGAGCTCCCTGGAGCTGCCAGGCCCAGTGGAAGGACCTCCTGGAATTCTTGGGGGATCAGCCAAATCCAGGGGAGGCAGCATCGGGCTAGCCAGGTGGGCGAGAAGTGGGACAGTGGGGCTCCGAACATACCCTCATCCCATTAGAGTGTCCGTAGGGGCAGTCAAATCTCAGCTCTTTAAGAAGTAAGTGTATGGCTTCCCTGGAAAATCCAGCTAGGACTGCTCAGGGCTCAGGGACCTGTTCCAGGCACTCAGACTGCTGCAAGTGGAGAAGGGGCAGATTGAGGGCATCACAGGAGGGGATTTGACTCCTGGGAACCCAAGAGAGGAAGCTACTGGACCCCTGCTGAAGGCTCGGTGCTTACAGCTTTCCCCAGATTCTCTTAGCCACCTTTGGTACGTGGTCCCCCTTTTCTGCCAGTCTGGGAGCAGTGTTCCTCACTCCCCACTTGCTCACCCTGTTCTGCCCAGCCCCCAGGGTACTGGCTCCCAGTCCAGGACATCAGGATTGGTTCTGGCATTTCCTTGACTCTTCCCACAATCCTGTTGACCAAGGGAGGACCCGGAGCTGGCCTGGGGGCCCTCTGTGTATCTAGGATGGGGGTGTACAGGAAGGGGCCCCAGAGCTTCAAAGAACCCTTTATTGACCTGGGTCAGGCTAATGGGATGCCTGTGTTTCCAGGAATCTGGATGAACGCCCTATGGAGGGCAGGGCTGGTGTGGCACCTTTTGAAGGATTTTCACACACAGCTGGGTGCCCCTGAGACCTGGGGGAAGCAGAGGTTGGGAAGTGGGCATGCTGTTCCAGCCTCTGCAGGCAATCCCATCATGCACAGTTGGCAGGGGCTCTAGATGCCCCTCCCACACCCCTAAGTTCAAGCCTATGTCCCCTTCTGCCTGAGCCCCTAACCCCCACAGGCTGAGCCAGGGAGCTCCAGACAGAGGGACAGACAGACGGCGCAGGGATGAGTGCACACTGGGAGGAGGGAGCAGCCTCAGGCCAGGCCCAGGCTGGCAGGATGACAGGGCCCCAATAGGATGAGTCACTCTGGGCCAGCCTGAGCCTGGGGCTGTGTGTGGAGGGAAGAAGTGCCAGTTGGGAGCTCCCCTGCCAGTCCCTCATGATCCCTGTTATCCTGGGGTACCCCCATCCACCCTGAGCACACAGAGAATCAAGGACCTCTCAGTCTGGGGCTGGGTTTGCAGGGGTGAGAGCAGGCCCCCAGTGGGGAGGTCTGTCCCATATCCTTCATTCTCCGGACGGATCCCTCCTCCGTGCGCCTCTGCCCCATTGCTCATCTCGCCAGCCCTAAGCCCATTTTACATCTGCCTGCAGGTGCCCTGGCTCCACGCAGTGTATGCCGTACTGGGAGCAGGCGTGTTTACATTGGTGAGTATGGCCCCCTGGGTTCCCCTTCTCAGCCTCCCACCATCTTCCCAGGCCCCTCCACCATCACCGTCTTCCTCACAGCCCTCCTCCCAGGGGGCAGCGAGGGGCGCAGTGCTGTGGTCAGGGAGTTCCTCAGGTCCCCAAGACAGGCCAGCTGACCTGGGAAGAGGGGAAAGGTTGTAACAGTGAGATTGACGCTTAACGACAGAGCTGGGAAGAGGTGCCCTTGGCTCGTGGAGAGGTCCAGTGCTGCTTGTGGAGGGTGAGAGACTGAGGGTGTCCTGGCCACATGGACTAAGTTAGTCATGCCCTCCTGGGGTAATCTGGGAAGGCTTCTTGGAGCAAGGGAGATTCCAAGTATGCTGTGACAGAGATGCAGTTAGATTGAGCTTGTCTTTCTTGGTTCTCACCAAACTGAGAGAGTTGATGAAGATGATTATGATTATCATAACAATGATAGTTGATGTTTATCGAGAGGCTTCTCCCACTGCAAGCTCCCCACCTACACTGAATGTCACCATAACTCTAAAATAGATTCTATTGTTCTCCAATTGAGACACGGAGCCTGAAGCTCAGAGACTTTACATGACGTGCCGAGAGCACACAGCATCCTAGGAAGTAAACAGCCAGATTGAGAATCTGGACAGTCTGGCCCCAGAGCCCCACTCAGGGTCTGAGGCTAGGTGGGGAAGGGAGTGGCGTGGCTAGAGGCAGATGCCCAGGTGACAGAAGGTGACCAGGGGCAGACATCTGCCTGGAGCAGCCCAACACAGGACCTTTGCTCAGGGGCTCCCAGCACCTGAATGTGGTAGTCCAGGATCCTCCCAGTTTGACAAGCATGTGTTGGTGACATGTTCTTGGGGGATGTGGCATCCAAGGTAAACCTCCACTGCCAGCAGGAGCAGTGACCAGGCTCTCCTTTCCCTCACTGGAATGTTCAGTTCAACTCAGTCTGGCCCGAGCTCCGGGCCGAATCACAGGTTCCAGAAGCTTATGGGTAACAGATTTGAGGGAGCAGAGATGAGGGGAAATAGGGAGTCAGAATTATGAGCAAAGGTTTTGAGGGGTTTGGATAGGGATCATGCCAGGAATGGGAGTGTGGTAGGTTCATTCATCCATTTCCATAGGTCTTTACTGAGCACCTACAACATGTGACGTGTGTGCTGTGTGTCCAGGCTGCCGTAGTCAGCAGGAAGAGCACAGTGCGTGGCACATGGTGGCACTCAGTAAATACTGGTGGAGTAAATGACCTCCAGGCTCAGAACTTGAGGGCTGCACAGGACTAAAAAGGGGTCTAGAGAAACTTCAAGCCTCTCATTTTACAGGTGAGAAAACTTGTTCAGTGATTTGTCTAAGGTTTCCCTGCAAGACAGTGGTAAATCAACTGAGTGTGGCCTTGGTTAAGAGTAGGGTGACCTTTATCCCAGTTTACCCAGAACTTCCCCAGTTTTAGCACTGAAAGTCCCACTTCTTGGGGGAACCCCTAGGAACTCCAAGATTGGGCAAACCACGATGGGTGGTTATCCTACAACACTAACTTCTCTTGGCTCCTGGACCAGTGCTCTTTCCTCCAGCAGCACCTGCTAAAGACAAATTTCAGTGAAAAGGATGAGGTGGGGAGTCAGGCTAGGAGGAAAGAAGAGGGAGGGTCAGACAGGGGGAGCCTGGCCAGGCCTCAGAGGACAGCGTTTGCCAGGGACAGTTGGAAGAAGAGGCATCGTGCAGGGCAGAGTGGGAGGAGAGCGAGGAGCGAAGGAGGGTCGGATGTTTAGGATGTTTACTTGGCTTCATGCTGATCAGGTCACAGCAAGTATGTCAGCTATTCCAGGAGGCTGTGCGTACAAGTAGGGTTGAATGAACAGTAACCCCTTAAATTTGTTTAATAATCCGCGGTGTTATTAGAATAATAAAAATAATCCCAACCATCTGTTCCACCCTTTACATTATACAAAGAACTTTCACACCTATTACCTCACTGGATCTCCATCACAACCCAGCGAGGGAGGCAGTGCTGATGTTATAAACCTGCTTTCCACATCTGAAGCCCCCATTGTTAAGGAGCTGGCAAAGAGTCCCACTGCCAGGAAGGAGCAGATTTAGGACAGGACCCAGGTGCCATTTCCAGGTTCCCCCTTGGTCCCCCTCGGTTTCTGTTGGCTCGAAGTGGGGAGAGCCTGAGGAGATCTCTCCAGCAATTTTCCCCCTCCCTTTCTTGCACCACCAGTATGGCCCTCCCTACTGGGTTATTTCTGTCAGCATCTGAAAAAAAAACCACACACAAAACAGTCTGAGCCCACATCTCCCTCTAGTTCCCCCTTTAGAGCAAAACTCCTTATAAGGGAATTTACACAAATTCCCATTCCTCTCCTCCCTCTCTCTCTTCTCCTGTTCTCTCTTAACCCTCTTCAGAATTCTCCCTGCGAGGTCCCCAGTGGCCTGTCTGTGACTGAATCCAGTGGTCACTTCTCGTGATGTGAGTCGTCATCTTGCTCGACTCTCAGCAGCATTTGATACGATTGCTCATTCCCTACCCCCAGAAGCATCTTCTTCCCTCAGCATCCAAACCACTAGCCCTCCTGGTTTTCCTCCTCCCTCCCAGGTCACACTGGAGGACCCTAGGGCCGTGGACTCTCTACACTCACTCCCTAGGGGATGGCAGACGGACTCAAGACTCTTAATACCATCTTTTATGATGACCCTAAGTTTTACATCACTAGCCTGGAATTCCAGGCTAGAATTTCCAATTGTCTGCTCGGGATCCACATTTGAAAATCTAATAGGCACCTCAAACTTAACATATACAGAACTGAGCTCTTGCTCTTCCCCTGAACCCGTGCTCCTCCCTCAGCCTTCTTCGTCTCTGTAAGTGGCAGCTCCACCCTTTTGGTCACTTGGGCCAAAGGCCTTGATGACATCCTCGACTCCTTCACTCTCCACACCCCACAACTGGCGCAGCAGCAAATCCAGCTGGCTCCACCTTCTGTCTAGAGTCTGACTGCTTCTCTCCACCTTCATGGGTACTGCCTGGTCCATTTCACCATCCTCTCCTACCTGGATTTTTTTTTCTTTTATACCCACCTGGAATCTGGAAATGGCATCCTACTGGTACTGCCCTGACAGTCTGTGTCCAACACCGCAGTGGCTAGAGTGATTTTGTTAAACATAATGAGGTCAGATCATTATTCTTCTTGGCCTCCAGCAATTGCTCCCCACTGCTTGCAAGACCCACGTGGACCTTCCCTACACTCACTCCCCATCACCCCCTCTGCTGCAGCCACATGAGCATCCTTGGCTCCTGAGGACTTCAGGCTCACTCCCAGCACAGGACCCCTCCACCCACTGTTGCCTCTATCTGTTCCTTCGCATTGGCTCACAGCTCCCTCTCTCCCCTCGTTCAAGGGTTTGCTTCATTTACAGTCTCGTGTGCCTGAGTGTGCACACACGCACGCACACAAGCACACAAGCTGTATTTCTCTCCATAGCACTTCTCATTCTCTGACATACTCCATATTTTTCTGCTTTGTTATTGTTTGTCTCCATCCAGCAGAATGTAAGTTCCTTGAAGACAGGGATATGGTTCTGGATTGCTCATTGCTGCACCCCCAGTGCCTGGAACAATGTATGGCACGCAGTAGGCACCCCCTAGATGTTTGCAGAATGAATGGACACCTGAGAGGCATGGCTGGGGGGCCAGGGCCGGCTGAGGTGCTGTTTGAGCAAGGCAAAGAAAGCGTGGCTGCACAGTTGACTTAAGCATCAGTCCTCTGTGAGTCACAGGGGAGGAGGAACCACAGTGCCTAATTACCCGTTAATGGCTCATTAGGAGAGCAACACACCCACAGTCCTTGGTTGGGTTCATCCTGAAGGTTATGTAAACAAGGGTCAGGAGCACGTGATGTCAATCCCCCAGCCCCAT